CATTATTATTATTATTGAGCCTAATAATAAAATAATTAAATAATATAGAATGAATATAATAAACACTATATGAATAATAAATACTACTTAAAGAATAATCATACTTAAATAAATAATAATAATAATTAAAACTAATATAAGACTGACTCGATACAAGAATTAAAGGATAGGAATATATTGCCAGCAAACATGATCAGATGGAAAACAGGTCTTGTCAAACAAACCCACTGTCACTCTGATAATTGTATAAGGAAAATAAACACCAATGATACCAATAAAGCACATATTAAAAGGCTGACTGACAGGTCTCAGAGAAGTGCTGGAGAGAAATAATCCTCACATTACGGCATTTCTAGTACAGGTCTGGAGGACTTGACTATCTAGGGCAGATACTAGCTGGCATTTTCATCCATACAGTTATATGATCGAGGACACAAAGGTTGGTAAATGACGAGGGTGACAAGGCAGCCATATAGCGAACTCTGAACGTCTTAATACGATGAACCCAATCAAAGAAAACTGAAATGCAAAACGATACATCCAGGGGTGCAGACTGAAGACCACACGTAATGAATGGGTGGCCGTGTAACAAACCCCACACAATGCACACGTTACAGCTGTATCCTGAAAAGCAGGGACTCTGGCGAGGACCTGGTGGACAATCAGTTCCCCACGAGCTCCCAGCATCACGGTGTGTGCGGGGCAAAGGGCCACACCGTCTTTAGTTCGTTCAAAAGGCGAGTAGCAAGTAAGCGTCAGGAGATGACTTTACCCCTACACATGACACGAGGCAGGTAGATACCAGGCTCTTGCATTTTCAAAGCGATGCTGAGCTATGGGACAGGGCGCAGAAAAAAAAGCCTCTAAAGGAATCCAAGGGCAGGAGGAAACCCTTCTGAGCAGCGGCTTAAGGAGCTCAATCTGTCGAGTTTATCAAAAAGCAGCTTGAGAGGTCATTGACTGCAGCGGGTAAGCACTTCCCCACCGAAAAATACCGGGCTCCAAAGGATTGTTTAACTCGTGGAGAAAGGCGTTGCAAACATGAGGGGCTGGAAGCTGAACCCAACAAACTCGGATGGGAAACAGGGCACAGATTTCACAGTTAGCTCCCGGGACGCACGGAGGATGCGTTCGCCACCCCTCACGTCTTCCCATCAAGAACAGATGTCTGTCTGGAAGATAAGATTTAGCTAAATCCAAGTTCTTAGGTGCAGTACGGGGGGCAATGGGTGAAATGTAACGACCTCTGATACAGCGGAGGCCAGAAGAGGGGCTCTAGCGGCCTTAAACGCTGTGAAAGGATGAATCCCTGGAGCATGCGACCCCGAGCATCCCGGGCCTGTAGTCTAGACAGCACGGGGATGCGAGGGAAAGCTTGGTGAGCAGCCAGGGAGGTGAGAAGGAAGGATCGATCCAGCAGATACTCGGGACCGACTCGGGTAAGCACCTTAAACCTGAGCAGCCGAGGCTTAGTTGTCTCCCAGCAACCCCCGGTGCACCGAGATGCACCCAATAACGTCGTCTTGGTCTGGATACAACTGTCGCTGCAGCATTCGGTACACGGCTGCGTCTACACAAGACACTGAGCAATAAGTAACTCTACTGCGCATTAAAGCGTCACCGTCTACACGTGCAAGCACCTACTACACAGTAAATTAGCTTACTGCACAGTAAATTTAAACCCAACGGGCCCCGCTCATATCCCCCCCACATCCTACAAGCCCCGCCCCCACTGCCGCCGGCCCTTGGCATCTCGCTGACCC